TTCCTTCCTTCCTATAGATCTGATTTTCCATCATTTCCTTTCAGGTCAAAAACCTCTCTATAGTATTTCTTGTAGTGTAAATCCACAGGTGACAGATTCTCTCAGCTTTCATTTATTTCATGTTTTTCTCCTCTGTCTAGGATCACGGCCTTGTACTGCCAGTGTCCAGTGCCGGAGAAACAATTGGCTCATAGATTTTGCCCAGGTTTATATTTGTTCATGGCAGGGAGGGTAATATCAGTACTGGTTACTCTGTCATGGCTGCAAGAGACCATCTCTTCTGTTTTCATTTTTGGAGTTTCTCTTATTCAAGTATTGGACTTAAATGGATCTCCTGATATTTTTTGCCTCCCATTTTCTATCTACTTACTTTGTTTTATTCTCTAGGTGATTTTCTTAACCTGTCTTCTATTCTTCCACCGAACATCTAAATTTTGCTATCATATTTTTAATTTCTAAGAGCACTTTCTTGTTTTTTGATTTATTCTAGTAAATAGGTTCTGTTTCAAGGAAACAATATTTGCTTGTTATCCCTTGGAGTGTAGTGATGATAGCAAGGGATTTCTTCTGCTCTCTGTATTGCTTTTAATGTTCTTTTTCTGTATATTTGTTTTAATCCCTATCTCTCATGTTGGAGATTGTCCTCCAATGTCTGACAATCCTTGGGCATATTTTCATACCTAAAAGTGAGACCAGCAGGCTGAACTCTTTCTGTGGAGTAAGGCTTGTTTCCTGCTTGACCACACTGTAGAGTGACCAGTCAGGACCTGGTCATTTTGTTTGGAGACCCCAAATATTGGCATGTATCTGTACATTTTTTTTTTCTTAGGCGGTGTCCCATAAAGTGTAGTCCTGCAATGTCTTGCTTAAGGAGAATAAGCCTGAGTGCCAGTGTCTTAGGGGTCTAGTCAGTGGCTTGTGGTCTCTAGTGAGCAGATTTTCACTTACTCCCTCTGACTTAAGTAAGATCTCTCACCCCTACTTTCAAGCGTCCTTGTATCTCTGAGTCCAGAGCCTCTCTAGTTCAACCTTCCCAGAGTGAAATCTCTAGTTTTTTGATGGCTAGAAGATGATAATGGTCCTTGTACATAAGAAGGGAGAATAGACCTGGGGTCTCACTTCTCCTGATAAAAAATCCTGAGCCTTTCTAGATCTTCAGTGCAAATCCACTTTCTTTTGGCAGCTTCTTCCACAGGGTTTAACTCTCTCTAGTCATCTAGGTCTGCATCTGCTTTCTGGCATCTTTTTTGCTATTATTGTCTTTTCTCCAGTTCATTTGTCCCTGTGGAACATTCTTTTTTGATCCCTGTGCTCTAACTTTAGTAGGGTTTCAGGAGGAAGAAAAGATGAATGTGTGTGCTCAATTTCCTATGTACCTTCTTTCTACTATAAAAAAAGAAATGAGAATTCATTTAAAATTCGTGTTTTGATGTGGATGATGCAAGAAAGACTATGTGAAACTCTACTCAGAGGCTCATCATAGAAGAAAAGGCCTTTGGCCTTATATTAGGAGATTGGAGAATAAATAAATGTATATTTATATTTTTAGGTCAAGATAATATGCTTGAGCTATGTATGTATGTATGTATTATTTACAACTCTCCTCTTTTACTGTTTCTAACTATGATATAAAAGAAGGACATGGAAGTCCAGGACTGTAAGTTACATCTGTCTGTTTTCCAGGTGACTGAGCAGCTAAGTTACCTGTGGAGGTGGGACTTAATAAATGAAAACGAATCCTCTCGTTTTCATTTGTTCGTTAATTCTTTCAACAAATAGCTGTTGGCCACGTGCTGTTTGCTGTGCTCTGTGCATCTCACTGTGGGAACAGGGGCATTGGCTTAACCCACACAGAATGTTTCCTGGTTGTTCATAGGCTCAAAAGGGATATAGTTGCCCTTTCCTTGGGCTGGGTAATTATTGGTAATTTTTTTTTCTACATTTTGACTGGAGGTGAAAGTGTATCTTTGTTCTCTTAATTTTGGCCAAGAAAGCAACTACCCATATGAAACAGTCGTAGTAAGGGGAGAGAAATATTGTGCAGTAGAAATTCCCTTTTCTATAAATGGACTAATTTGGAATGCTTTAACAAAAGACACTGGTTAATAGCCATGTTGAACACAAGGACTCATTGTAATTTTAAGCCTTTCTCAGCCAGATCAGCACTGTTACAGGCTCCAGGGAAGGTTCTCTGAATTTACTTTCAAGCTTTCAGCTACCATGTTATAGCCCTAAAGACACACTCTTAACCAAAAGCAGGAGGAAGAAACAGCTTGCTGAATGGCGTGGCCAGACTCTTTCCTGGATCCAGGTCTTCTTTTCTCGGTTCTGGGAAGAAGTCACTTGGGAGAAGGATTTTTCTTGGAGAAGCTGTAGTTTACTTCAACAGTGTGGAAACAATTTGCAGTTTTAGTCTACAAAGAAATTTAGCCCCAAATGACCCGGCTTGCAGATTGTTGTTAGCTTTAGCGTTCCCATTTTACCACCTTCCCATTGCCACACAAGAGGCTAATGGGACTCCTTGTGGCAATTTCTCTGACTGTGTTGTATATTAGGAATAAGCATATTCATATACATAGTGCTTATCTATCTATCTATCTATCTATCTATCTATCTATCTATCAATCATCTATCATCTATCACATATACTCATTCAGATACACGAAGTGCTGTCATTTTTCAAAAATCTTTCTCTTTCTCCCTGTTAGTTCCCTCCCAGCTTTCTACTCTCCGCATAAGATATTGTCCTGGTAACGGAAGGCAGGTAGAAGTCTGTAAATGTCATTTGTAAGGAAAGAGGGCTTGTTGAGAAGTTCTAGAAGCTGTTGGAGCAGAAGAGAGTCTGGTAGGATGGAGAGAAAATGTGAGGCTAAGGGCCTAGAAAGAATGAGAAAGGATGAAAGAATCAGAGGAGGAAAGGCCAGGAACAGGGTGGATGTGGCGAAAGCAGGCAGAAGGAGGGATAAGCCATGTGTAGAAGAGAAAGGAGACAGGACTTTCTGGGGGAATACTTTGTGTATACTTCTTATTTTATTTTACTTTTTTAAATTTATTTTTAGTGGCAGACTTTTGAGATCTGAGAAAATATGGGGTAGGTATAGCTCACTTAGCACTAGGAACTCATGGTAACTTTCACAAGCTTGTAATTGATTATAAAATCTCATTTAACCCAATCCTAACAAATCAGACTACGGGCTTTGTGCCAGAGAGACGGAGAAGAGAGAAAGCTCTAAGAGTCATCCATGCATTTGCCCATAACATTTGAACAGCAAGGAAGACCTGTTCTTAAAAGTTCCCTGCCTACCTTCAGCCAGGGACACAGACGGAGAACCTCAGGAAGGGATATGGTGTAGTTGAAAGATGCAGAATTAACAGGCATTGAGGTAAAACCACTAAAACTGGCCACATTTCAGAAAATGTAAACATTTCACTTTTAAAATAAAGTTAATGTAAAAAAAAATCTGGTTCTAGACTAACACTTGCTGTCAGATGCTTATGAAAAACAATCCAGACAGAAAACAAAAAGCTTTGTTTCTTGGTATGAGCTGACTTCTACCACTTTCTGGCCCTAAGGAAGTTCCGCCATCTGAGTATAGTTGTGAACAAACCGTGGCTCCGGGAATTTCGTTCTGCATGATGGGGAGCTGGGAAGCCAGGTGGCTACCACAGGTGGTGGACTTGGCAGAGAGAGGAGTATCTGGGTTCTACAGCAGAAATAGATGTCACCATCTGGCATGCAAGCACCTCGAATGATCCCATTACTCCCTGTGTCCTACCTGTTCTCCAGGTTGAGCACAGATGACATTTAATACATATTTGATTGATTTTTTTAATGACATGGTCCTGGTTTTAAGCAAACGAAGACAGAAGATGTGTGTTTTGTTAGGGGTGTCTGCCAAGGCGAAGCTCAAAGAAGAGGGGAGAAGTTTCTGAGGATAGGCTACCTTTGGAATGACAGCTTGGGTTGGAACTGGGGCGTTTCCTGTTAGAATTGGAAAGTATATCCCCAGAAAAGAGGCAGATGAGCATGCTAGCCATTAGTGAGCAAAGAAAATGGTTTCCTGGATGGTCAGGGGCTCTGCAGAAAATCTCCTGGACAGAGCGTCCTGGACAGAGTGGGCCGAGGCCCATGCGGCAGGTGGCCGTCCCCACCAGAACTGGTAAGACACCTCTTACCAGCTCCTTTATGACTTTCAAATCAGACTTCTGGACATAGGCTGCTTGTCAGGTAGTTTAATGGTTTATTCTTTAGAGGATTTGAACATAAATACCAGACTATGGCCATTTTGGATATGGACAGTAAAGCTGGCTATGCTGTAGATACCTCGTTGGAGTCAACATGTGGAATCTTGATGGTCGAAAACTTTCAGAATCTTACTTGAGATTATGGAATTTGGAGACACAGGGAAAATATTCAACATTGTTTGTCATTTAGTTTGTCCTTTAGTTCATGTGGTTAGGCTAGTCTGTGGAATGTCCCAGGTGGATTCATTACATTGTTCATCAGCTTTGACATCATGCCTAGATTCCAATAACAGGATGGCATTCCATCAAATGACTATTTGGACTGGACCAGCCTATCCTTTAGAATGCCTTATAATGTAAAATCTGGAAACAAACCCTCCAGATTGAAACTCCTCACATAAATAAGTATGCCTTTGCTGCAGCTGTTGGTCACAATATCACTCTCCTTGAGAAGGTTCCTATTCACACAAGGATGACTTGTCTGGGGGTAAAAGAACAGTGCTGCTCCCTTTGAGTCAGAATGGTGCCAGCCACTTATCCTTCATTGTCCTTTTCTGACCAAGCTGTACTCAGTGGTGCATGTAGCATGGTAGGGTCACATTTGGGATTGCATGGAACTCTAGAGGCCTCTTTAGACTCCTTCTTTACACAGAGGATGGCTGGAGTGGCCTCTTGGTCAGTGTCATCCATTCTAGAGATTAGAGAAAATCTTAGTTCTGCTGATGGTCAATCAGAATTTCATTCCCCTCCTTCAGATCCATGAGAAAGAAGAGGAAGAATTCAATGAGAAGAGTGAACATGACTCTGGTATCAATGAGGAGCCTCTACTCACAGCAGATCAGGTATGATTATCTCCCTCGGTTCTTGGGATTTTTTGTTATTTTGATAGAGAAAAGTTTTAAGAGAATATACTTGCTACCTTCATTTAAGGCAGAAGAAAAATGTATGGTCTCATGGTGGTCGTGTTTGAGTTGGAGTATCTTTCAGAAGGGATTTTATTTCTCTCTATGCTTCAGTTTATCCACCTGTAGTAAATAGGAACATAATTCCTGACACTTGGGTTGGGTGGGCTCCGTGTGTGATAACAGCCAGAGACAGGGCCAGTGGTTACTGACTTCGCTTTCTGCTAGGCCTCTTATAATAATTCATTGCGCTTAGAGTCAAGAACGTAAACAAGAGTCCCAATACCTGTTCTCCCCAAAATAAAAGTAACAGATAAGATTTCTGTGTGCTAGATATATTCTAATATTTTATAGACCATTGAAAATTTTGAACCTTCCAAAATGAGTCTTAGAGACACTTGTATCTCTTTGTAAAGAAAAGAAAAGAAAGAAAAGAAAAGAAAGAAGAGAAAACATATAGTGTTTCACATTTGGTTTTGATAATTTATTACTGAGGAGGAATAATGTTGGGTCTTCAGATTCCTTATTCAATCTTTTAGTCAACAAATATATGTAGGTGGTTGTTTTGAGCAGGCATCATACACATGTTTTCACAAAGTAATTCTGAAAAATGCTCCACTGGGAGCTTTCAGCACCAGAAAGTGATTTTCAGTAGAAGGAACACTTTTGTACCTGTAGTAAAAGGTGGGATATAAATAAGTGAGGCTCAAGAGATTGAAGGGAACTAGATAAAAAAGAATAGGGGCTAACAGTTATTCTTGCGAATTTTAGGGGAAATACAATCCAATGATACAAATTCAACAACTACTCTGAGAGAAAAAAGCCATAAAATTCTAAAGAGGGTCGTTTCATTTGGTTACATTGTATGAATGGCTCTCAATAATCGAAGACTGAGTGTCTCCTAAATCCGTGAGTAGAGATGAGAAGGCTTGTAAATAAAACAGCAATTATTCTAAAGGAGGGGACCCTAAGTCCTCTTATCTTTGGTTCAGCCGCACACCAAGAAACCCACTTTAAAGATCACAGTCCATCAGCCTGAAGCTGGAGACCATCGCAGCATCAAAAAACAGACAAATGCACAAATCAGGTCACTGTTGTGACCAGACTCAGATGGAGTCCTTCCAGCAGTAGTCTTTGCTTATTCTGCTCTTTAAATGTGTAAACAATTAACTCACAAAGTAGTTCACCCTTATTCCTTTTGGCGGTTATCTAATTTTACTCTTGCTTCTAGGTGAGAGCTGCCCCCTAGCCCTGTAGGCTAGACAAAAGCTGGATTTTTAAATATATTTTCTGCTCTCCAGACCCTGCCAATTTTTTTTTTTTTAAAACTGCTTTATTATCTTTATTTTCACTTGGTCCTATCTAGGTGAATTCTGGAGAAAAAGCCATTTCTTTCTAGGTAAAAAAAAAAAAAACCTCCCCATCTTGAGTTGTCTTAAGAACACTGTTTTTTTGTTTGTTTGTTTTTTTGTTTTTTGTTTTCTCCAGTCATATACATTACAACAATTAATGGAATAGGTTTTGAGTTAAAGTTGGTTGGATAAAATATCTTCCCACTTAGAAATAAAGTGCTCAGCAAATTGAAGTAAATGTTCCCTTCCAGGCAGCTCTGCTTTGTTTCCTGAAAGAGTCGTTTATTTCCAATAAAGCACTCATCTAAATGGAGTTCTTGGAAGAAGGTTTACAATAAAGAGTATGCGTAAGCCTTTGGTCAGAGTTATTTTTATTATTATTCAATATTTAATAAGTAGCAATTTTACAGACAGCAAATTAGAAATGTCCTTACCTGATCAAAATCCAGGCTGGAAGTCCCTCCAGCAGAGAAGAGATTTAACAGTCTCTTGTGTACCTTCTCCAGGTAATTGAGGAGATTGAGGAAATGATGCAGAACTCCCCAGACCCTGAGGAAGAAGAAGAGGTTCTGGAAGAGGAGGAAGGGGGTGAAACCTCCTCCCAGGCGGACTCGGTCCTCCTGCAGGAGATGCAGGCCTTGACCCAGACCTTCAACAACAACTGGTCCTATGAAGGTGAGGGCCCTGGGGGTGGGCTTGCCAAGGATGAACCCCTCTCTGCTGGACACTGGTCACATGCTTCACGCGTAGACAGTAGAACCTCGCATCTAGGGAGTTGGCACCTTTCTTAGTGGGCGTCAGGAGAGAAGTTAGCATTTTGGTGGGGCATGGTGGGGAAGCAGTTGAGCAAAATTAAAATGGTAAAACTAACCAAAGAACAAAACTAAAGCAGACTAAGTAGAAGAAATCTGAACCCATTATTCAAAACCATGCTACCATAAAATCAATGAAAAAAAAAAACCTACAAGAGGTCATAATAATAATAATAATAATAGTAGCTTATATTTTCGGAGAGCTTCTATGTACCAGATCCTATTCTAAGACTTTCTGTGCATAATCTCATTTCATCCCCACATCAGCCCCATTAGGACTGAGCTGAGTATTCTGAGACATTAAGTGACCTGTTCAAGGCCACTTTTGGTGGAAATATAATTAAAAACAAAATCTTCTCACCCAGGAAACCTCTCTACAGAAGTAGAAGAGAAAGAAAATTACTTTATTATTGAATAAGCATTAAGCCAGAATGTGATGTACATCACAGGCAACCCACTAAAGGGACTGCAGGACCAGAAAGAAATCTCACTCTTATCTAGAGCTAAGTGAATACAACCCATTATATTAAGGAGGTTTTGCAATTTGGACTCAGATGACAAGCTATGCCCCTTTCATTATCTTCCTTGACAATTACTTTTCGAAACAGTGACCTCCTGTGGAAACAGTCCTGAGTCCTAAGAGAGGCAAGAACCTTATTCAGCCATTAAATTAATTGACATACAATTGAAAAGGACAGAGAAAGAAATTCTAAAAGAAAAGGAAGGTAAAGGAGAGGGTGAGTCTCCTCCCTTATTTTCAACAAGGAGAACCCAGCTTCTTCTTCTAAACTAGCATTTCCCCTTATATGACATACAAATCAGAAAGGGTGGAGACAAATTTGAGGCCGGGTAGGTTAACTCCAGAGGTCACACTCTTAATCGGTGTATCGTATTAATTCTCTGACACAGGTTTGTAGTATTTATGATTGTGCAAAGAAAGAGGTTGATGAAGAATGGGATGAAACGATGTAACACAGCAAAGTCAAAACAGTATAAAATCTGTTAATCTGTGGGGATGCTGATGTTCTTGCTGCAGGAGGGGCCACGCCCATGGGGAGTAAGTCCATGAGAGGTGGGGTGACAGGGACTTAGGAAGAACAAAGAGAGAAGGTGGGCAGGCCAGGATATAAAGCTCCAAAAACGGATTAGAATAGTGGTAAATATAGAGGCATGATCTCAATCAAGAACTGTGTCAGAAAGTAAAACTGTGGCTGTCAGGAGCAGAGTCAGGGTGGTGTCGAGCAGAAGGAATCTGTGCAGAGCGATGCAGCGAACTTGGCTGTGGCGCTGCATACACAGCTGCCCCAATTAGGCCATTCTCATTCACACAAAGGTCCCAAACACAGACATGCTCAGCAAAAGACTTGTGAAAACAGCTGAAATACACAGTGAAATGGCAAAAACAGAAGGACAGCTCCGTAGAACAGAATAAAGGGGAAAGTCGAACCAAGTCAGCAAATATCCGAGCAAAGCAGAAATGAAAAGGAAAATGGATTCTAAGGCAGAATCAAAAGATGCCATTAGGAAGGGATACCCTTGCCAAGATGCTTTCTGAATCCGTTTTAAATGAAGAAGGATTAGGGGACAGAAATTTAAAATAAAGTTATCTACATCCCATGATCGCAGATTCCCTTTTCTTTTCTCTGACAGTAGACCACTCTGTCTCAGCTAGCCGGGGTTCATTTTCCCCTACATGTTGCCAGTCTCCCACACTTTTCACATATATATTTTTTAATACAGGCACTGCCACACAGGGCTAAAGGCATAAAGAAGGCCTCCAATCACTCTATTCATTTGACTGTCAGTTATGTCTTGATCAGTTCTTGGGAATAAGTGCCACCCTCTGTTGCTCTTCACCACAGATGCCAAAACCCTCTTTTTACTGTTTTTTTTTCCCCCCCCAATTTTTGATCCATTTCATATGAGAAATATTATAGAAACCGGGAAAAAATTAAAAGACAGAATAAGAGATCAAGAAGCCACACGTCTGTCCACACACTTTCTTGTGCACCAAGACCCCTGGCTTCCTTAGAGGCTTTCTTCTTCTTCTTTCATTTCTCAAGAATGATTTTCTCTTCTGCAGACGATAAACTGGCCCCGCCCTTCCTGGCATGCTTCTAAATTGTGAAGGTCTTTCCTGGACCTTCGAGAAGTTGGAATGGGTCTCCTCCAGAGGGGCAGTCCCATCTCACGTTGGCAGCAGCCCCAGGAGCCTCTGCAGTGGGCTCTGGCTTGGACGCAGGTGTGACCTGCGAATGATCTTCCCCCACAGGACTGAGGCACATGTCTGGGTCTGAGCTGACGGAGCTGCTGGACCAGGTGGAGGGTGCCATTCGAGACTTCTCAGAGGAGCTGGTGCAACAGCTGGCCCGCAGGGACGAGCTGGAATTTGAGAAGGAAGTGAAGAACTCCTTCATCACAGTGCTTATCGAGGTTCAGAACAAGCAGAAGGAGCAGCGAGAACTGATGAAAAAGAGGCGGAAAGAGAAAGGGCTGAGCCTGCAGAGCAGCCGCATAGAGAAGGGGAACCAGATGCCTCTCAAGGTATGTGAACCACCCAGCTGGAAGCCTGGGTGCATCCCACCACGAACCCTCGCCACTTCAGGTCCCGATGCCAACCCTGCAGTGAGCTCAGAAACAGGCCTGTGCTGAGCAGTGACTGAGCAGGACACTGTGGCAAACAGTGGGACATAAAAAGGGAGATGATGCTATCTGTCTCCTCTCTTCCCCCAGAGGACTCAAGTATAACTGGAGGAGACAGGATGTAAACATGAGATGAGACGATTATTGAATATGTTCTCTGAGTCAAGGCCTTACAAGGTGGGGTGAAGGACTGAGAAGAGCTGTGCTTTGGGCCTCTGGGTCAGAACCTCTGCAACTGGCTGAGCTTAGAGTTCTGACTTACCTCTTTAGGAGGTCGGTAGGGTGTTTCGGGATCGAAAATTATGATGCCTTATCGCTTTATTGATAGGATTCTTCTCACCGATGATTCTTAATCAGGGAAGCTCAGGGAATCATCTAAGGAGCTTTTAAAAAATGTCTTCGCTTCAGCTCTGTCCCAGACCTACTGAATCGGGCCTAGGCGTGTGCATTTGGGAAAAGCATCCTAGCTAAATAGTTACTTTATATCTGCCCTCCCCAATGGCTGGGCATTTTGTTTTCTTCCCTAAGATATTTGCATCATTATCTGTCTACATTTTGCTGTGCTGCTTTATTTTACTATTTATACAGTGGAGGCAGAAATGAGGAAACCTGGAGAGTGCAGAGGGGTCTCGTTGCCCTGAGACCCGCTAAGACAAGAGGTTTTGAGACTCTATTCTTTATTCTTGCAAACCTCAGGCTTACATTTTGGCCTGTCATTTAGCCCAAGTCTTACATTAGCTTGCTAGTCACAGAACCCGGGGGCAGTTATCTGTGCAGTGTGGTGTGTCTGAGTGGTTGAGGGAGGACACGCAAGTCCCTGGGGGTGATGACTATGGAACAAGAAGCAACTGTCCTTCTTGAGTCTCTTGTCCCCCAGCGCTTCAGCATGGAAGGCATCTCCAACATCCTGCAGAGCGGCATCCGCCAGACTTTCGGCTCCTCAGGACCCGACAAACAGGTAGGAGCCATCCCCCTGCTCCCAGCTGTCCTCCTAAACTCTTGCAACTTGGCCTCCCCAGCAGAGCCGGGAGTGGTGATTCAATAGAATTATCCCAGCACTTGGGCAAGGGGTGGGACCTAACATTGTCTGTCACTCTGAAGGAGGAACAGAAAGTGTCTTTTTAAAGATGAACAGTTTCTTCAGCTCTAACATTCTAGGACATGGATACAACTTAAAACTCAACACTGCTTATACACCTATAGGTTAACCTGTTTTAATAACGAAAGGCATTAAAAGGGGGTTCCATTTGTTGATTGACCCCATCTCCAAGAGCTTAATTAATCTACCATAGTGGGTCACCAGCTGACCAGTCCCACCAAGACTGTTCCTTCGGCTGCCTGCTGTGACCGTAACCCACGATGCAGCACCTCCTGGTTGGCTCCATTTAGTCAGTTACTTGCCCGAGAAGCATTTCTGGTTATTTAGACAGTGTCCAAAACCTTTATTTCATACCTGTTATGTGCTGAGCTCTGTCGCTAGGCCCTCAGGTAAGTCCTGGTCCTGTCCCCATGGAGTGCATGCTCTGACTGAGGTGGCTGGTGTGTAAATGGACAAGTATGAGATTATAGAATAAGTGCACACAAATTGTGTATGTGTTTTATACATATTTGTAGCTGAATCCTAAATGTTAGAATTCTAGAACTACGGCACGGGAAGAGATTTTAGGAGTATCTAACCCAGTCCCTTCATTTCACAGCTGTGAGAACTAAGGCCTGGAGAGATTAGGCAAGCTTTTCCCAAGTGGCAGAGCCATGACTAAAATACAAGCTTCTGACTTTTGGTCTAGAGGTCTTCCCACTCACTGTGCCAGGCTCTCCTTGAGCCCTTCAAGGTCTTTCTGGCCTGGTGTCTTTGATATCCCACTGGGCCCGAAGATGATTTTGTTGTAGAATCACCTCATACCCAGCAGAGGGAGCAAACCACATCCAAGACCAAGGGTGCGGTTAAGGTTCTCTCTCCCATGGTTTTGACAAAAGGGAAATCATTCATTTTCAAATTGCACTGCAAAGGCTAAGAAAATGTGATACCCGCTCTTTGCTCTCAGCCCAGATGGGAAAAAGCCCACCAGGACTTCTAAATAACCGAAGAGCTTCTAGTGTCAAGAGAATGTAGAAGTTGAAATAGCGGTTGAAATTTTTCCTGGCTAATATGGTAAAGTCTTAATTTTAAAGAGACAGCCCCCAAACATGAGGAAAAGGTCCTGAAACAGTGGTGTGCAAATTATTATGGGTGTTGTTGAGAATGTCAAATTCAACGGAGTGTGTTTCTTAGAGAAAAGCACAATCCCCGTGCAAACTGTCTCATGTATCTCAACCCCAGAGGGACCATATCTTACGTCTCAAGCCCTGAATGCCGTTTGTCTTGTAGTATCTGAACACAGTCATCCCCTACGAGAAGAAAGCCTCCCCTCCATCAGTGGAAGACCTCCAGATGCTGACAAACAGTGAGTTGGTCTCATTCTCAGCAAGTTCAGCTGCTCATTTGTCTGCCTCCTTCTCTGTGAGTTGCACCCCTGGTGCCTCCGACTTGAGATTTCCAGGAGCAATTTTAGATGGGTCGAAAGGTGCTCTGTATCATTGCATCCCTTCCTCCTGCGCAGGGGTAAAATTAAAGTACTCTGCAGTGATGATCTGAGCTGTCTTGTCTCTCCTGGGTTCCTGTAAGGGAAGAGGTTTGCCAGAAGAAAATGACCTGGTGAAAGAGAGTAGAGGGCTGGTGGGTGTGCAGGAACCTTCCGGTTCACCCAGCAGTTCTCAAGGCTTTGTATTCTCTGCCTTGCCCTTTTTCTCCTCTGCAGCTCGAGGGTGCTGCCTCCTCTGAACTTGTGTCCTCAAAGCAGAGAGCTCAGTCTGTGGGACCAACCGTATTTTTAACAAGAAGCAAAGTTTCTTGGGTGGGGTAAGGCTGATTAGAAAGAATGGAGTCTGGTTTTCCTTTCAGGAAATGACTGCCTCCTCTCCTCCACTTTGGCTCTATTGTCAAATATTAATAAACATTCTGAGCTATGGGAGAAAACAGTGTGTAATAGAGAGCCTTTTGTAGGCAAAATCTCTTTATATACATACATCTAACATTACAACCCCCAAAGGGCCAAGGGCACATGATGTTAGCCATCAGCATCAGCTTGATTCTTTTAGGAAGAGAATTCTAGGCTGAGATGTGGTAACAGGCTCAGTGAATCAAGAGACATCCATCTATCTCCCTGGCAACCATGCACTGCACTGAGTGACATACTAGCCAGGCTGCTCAGCCCATAGTAGAGAATGAGCCAGCCACAGGGCTATTTGGTACCCCAGGGGACAGGAAGAGAAACTTCATCTCTTCAGCTAGGGGAGATAGATGCCTGCTGGGCCCCAGTGCTAAAGGGAACCAAACATTCTCATTTTTATCACTTCAGAAAACTAAAGCAGGAGATTCTGGTAAACAAAAATACTGCCGACATCAATAGATACTGTGTCCTTGAGAAACTGGAATTTTAAATTCAAAGTACATTGGCTTCCTCTTGACTCATTTTAAAGTCCTTTATTTGCATAAATATGCACTAAAATTTTTTAAAAGAGAGCAGATAGATAAGAACTGACATTTATAGGTGTTTATGTTTTTATGAGTAATAAGCATTTGGAAAATAATTTGGACAAATTACAAAGGTTGACATGTGTAAAGTACTCAGGGTCTTAACGAAAGGAAGAGCTATCTATTACAGACACCTATTCAAGAATTCAGTGTGAAATCCTTTCATTTTAATTAAGAAACCATTGGTTTGTTTACATTTTTCGAGTTCACTTTAAAAATTATAGCTAGAGTGTATCCATCATTTGGAAATACTGAAAAGCGAACAAAGGAAAATTATACTGGCTATAAAATTTTGTATCGTGATTTTAGTCACATTAGTTAACATTTGGTTAACATTCTTTTTATGGCGCTCTCTTCTAGCATGTGGATAGACCACATTCCAATTTTTTATTCCCCTTAAAAGAAAAAAGCTGCCATCTTTCCTGAATACCAAATTCTTCTGTAGGTTATGAAAGCTCTTTTTTGGCAAATCCTCGTATGCATTTGTGAGGAGTGTCTCCTCTTTATCCTACTCCTGAATCAAGGATATAGGCCAAAGACCAGCCCCGGGGACTGAACAACTCACATCAATTTTAGATTTTGGAGATCAACTTAGATACATATTGACTGAGTGCACTTATTGTATTTTTACGGCTGTCTCCTTGGTGCAGCATCTGGTCTGCCCATGCTCAGCTGCAAAGTATTTTCAGCCTATTCAGTCGAAATGGATACATATCTAAAAATAAAGAAGAAATAAAACAAAAGAAACCAACATGTGGAAGGCCTCGGGTTCATTCTCTTTTTTTTCTGGGTCTGGCTGCTAACTCCTGCCCCTGTCAGGCTCTGTTCTTCACCCACCCCTGTTTTTGGAATCAAGTTTCATGACCCTGACTTGAAACTAGGAAATAGAAGTGACCACGGTCCCTCTATTGTCACAGCTGCCTCCTGACCCTTATAATCAGTGCCCGGTGATCTTTACTGTTTTCTCTGCTTGCAAAAAGTAATACATGCTCATCAAAAAAAAGCCAGACACTGTGGAAATTTAATGCAGGAAAGAACATTCCCCCATGGTCTCCCTCTCAGAGATAACCGCTTTTAACAATTTTATGCACATCCTTCTAGATTTTTTCTATGATTATTAACATTTATTTAAAAGTGAATACATAATGTTGTATGGCCTTTCTTCACTGATAAGTATGTCTTGAATACACAGATCTCTCTAATTTTTCATAAAGCTATAAGACTACAGGAAATAGATATACCGGAGTTTATTTAAAGGATCTAAGGAATCTATTGGTGGACACACCCCTCCCTCATTTTTTGATATCAAAAACGAGGTTGGGCTACTTTCTTGAAGGATTTTCTACAAAGCCGATTTCTGCAATATGAATTATGAATATGAAAAGATGCTACCTAGTTTAATAACAAAAAAAGCTATTTAAAAAACTTTTATAAAAAGCCTTTAGGCTTTAATAACTTCACATTGTTTGCTTCATGTGTAGTCATGTCCTGTTTCAACAAGAAGTCTGTAAGTTCTTTGAAGATCCATAAGTCTCTTGCATTTCCACAAATCCTAACATTTGTTATAAATTGGTGGTGAGGAGGGTTTCTAGTAATGTCTGTTTATATGAATAGACTATCTTTAGAAACAGTTTTATTGGTGATTCGGTGATGTGACAACTACTATTTTGACATTTAGATTGACTGCATCTGAAAGTTGATTCTTTTTTTAAATTGCTTTATTTATTTATTTTTACGATTATTAAAAATATACTTAGGAGATGATGTGGATATTATAGGAGAGAAAGAAAAGTAAAAGATAAAGGAAAAAAAGAAAATACAGTCAATGATAGGCCACTCTGACTCTTGATATATTTTCCTTCATCACCATGTTGAAGGCTGACTCTTGACAGAAGCTTCTAGACTTTTGCTCAATACTCAAAGCATGTCTGGTTTCCCTGAATCAGTTCTCACTCACTTTGCGTGTGTGGGTCGTTTGCCCTAGAAAGTGAGCTTTACGCCCCGATGGTTCCCTTGGCTCATCTCTCTCACTCTCTCCTTCCCCAGTTCTCTTTGCCATGAAGGAGGATAATGAGAAGGTGCCCACTTTGCTAACGGACTACATTTTAAAAGGTATGAGCAGCCCAGCCTCCTGGGAGCAGAAGTGGTCCTCTTGGGGCCCCTCCCCCAGGACTCAGCCCTCTGTACAGCCTTCCCAAGAGTGTTCACACCAGACCAAGCCTGGCAGGGCCGGGCAAGCAAGTGGACCATTGTGAGGCCCTCGCAGTCATGGGGTTTTGCATTTTGGATGTTGCTAGGAGGCCTGAGAAGCAGATTCCATCACCCCCGAGTCACCAGAGGGACTGTACATGAGGAGCAGCCAAACCAACAAAAGATTTATTGTGAAAGTTTTGTGGAGTTGGGCTATTTAGTTGGGAAAAACAAAGCCTGAGGATACTATTAATAGTTTTCAGCTGCTTATAGGCAATGAACTAGAGTTATGATCCTTTCATAACAACTTTCTTTTTGTTTTATCTTGTATTATGGAAACTTTTAACACATATAAAAGCAGAGCGAACTCATGTACTTAACATCCTGCTTTAACAATTATTAACGCATTGTCAATCATGTTTCATTTATACCTCTTCCCAACTTCTCTCCTTCATATTATTTTGAAGCAAATCCTAATCATAATATTTTTCATACATAAATATCTCAGTATAGATTTCTAAAACATAAGGACTCTTTTTTTTCTTGGATAGAAGTAAGGATTTATTGGTAAAAGAGTGTAAACATACGGACTCTTAAAAACATAACCACAATATTATAACAACTAGAAAAATAAAAAATTTCTCAATATCACTGACTATTCAATCAGTGTTCAGATTTCTCTGATTTTCCCATAAAATATTTTTCGGTTTGTTTGGATCAGGATCCAGTGAAGTCCCACATCTTGCAATTGGATAATATGTCTCTTAAGTCTCTTAATATATATTGGTTCCCCTTTCCTTTGTTGCTTGCATTCCTTGACATTTATTTCTTGGAAAAGCCAGGTTGTTTGTCCCATAGACTTTTCTCATTCTGGCCTTTGCTTGATGGTTGTGTCCACATCGTTTAATTGGGTATGTGCTTCCATCTTTTGTGCTTCTGTTAATCGGTAGAGCTAGAAGTTTGATCAGATTCAGCCTCAAATTTGTAAACTTCCATTAAGAGTCACCTACTCTCTGGTTGTCTTTCTTTTTGTGACGTTAGTGTGTGTGTGTTAGTCTGCCCAGGCTGCTAAAACAAAATACCACCGCTTAGCTTAAACAACATAAATTCATTTTCTCACAGTTCTGGAGGCTAGAAGGCCATAATGAAAGTGACAACAAATTTGGTTTCTATTGAGGGCTTTCTTCTTGGCTTGCAGATAATAGTCTTTCCTTCTGTGTTCTCAAGGAGAGAGAGAGAGAGAGAGAGAGAGAGAGAGAGACAGAGAGAGAGAGAAGAAAGAGATTTGCTCCCTGGAGTCTAATCTTATAGAGACCAAATCCTATCAGATAAGGGCTCCATCCTTATGACCTTACTTCCTCAGAGGCTCCATCTCCAAATACAGCTGCACTGGGGGGTTAGGGCTTCAAGGGCTTCAACATATGGATTTTGGGGAGACACAAGCATTCAGTCTATAACAGTACCCATTGATGATCATTCATTGTCTAGACCCTTTGTTTCACTAGCCTTTGCTCTACATGCAGACAACTGGGTACAGTTTTTGAAGGATTTTGGACCTTCGGTTAAGAACCTCCAAACTATAGCATTTCCATAATGATCAGAGAAATTAATCTTAAATTTCTGCAGGAGGAATTTAGGCTAAACATGGGAAGAACTTCTGACTCTTAAAGGTTTAAAAGAGCAGCACATTTCTCAAAGGGTGTTTTTAAAGATGATTTGTAGAAATAGATTCTACAAGTCTGGGAGCCTGAGGGCTGGATTTTACCCCTTACAATCCACTGAAATGTCAGTGAATTTATAAAACTAGTTCACACTTACCGAGCACTTTCTACTTGCCTCTGAACAACTTTAAGGGCAGGCAAAGGCACTGTCTCTTGTATATATGAAGAAATAAGCAAGAGAGGTAAAGTAATCTCCTTAAGGTCATAGAATTACAAATAGTGAATCCAGGATTCGAACCCAGGCAGCTGGGCACTGGAGAGTAGGTACTTAACTGTTACACCAAACAACCTCTTATCACTGGCTCTTCATTTTTCTGGAAGAAAGACACGTGACTGCAATTGTTCCTTGTTCTAAGGGGGCAGTTCTCTGCTCAGGACGCTGGTGGGAAGCCAGCGTGACCGCTGTTGGCCAGGGCTACCTGGGATGGCAGGTTCTGACCTATGCTGTGCTTTGACCTCTGTTCTCTTCTCTTTCCAGTGCTCTGTCCCACCTAACCTTGCCCTTGGGAGCAGCCTTGCAGCGGAGGTCACTGAGCAAGAGTCATTCCATCACAGGGACTGCATGACACCACGTAACCTCCGATGTGTATTTACACGTGTAGAGTTTAACCTGGATTAAACACGAGCAAACGCGCGGGTTCTTTGCTGTTGGCTTCTAGTCCTAGTAATCATTGGATGCATGATGAGGGGCAGGGCTGGGGACACTGCCTCCTCTCCGCCTATGTCGGAGGAAGGCAGACGCTCTCACCACTCATTCTGTAGTCTGGCTCCACCCTCAAAAACAGCTTATACTCTAAGACTAATTTTGAAATAAACCTTCATTTAATTAATATCCACGTGCTTTAGAGTGTGGTGTCCAGTGGCTCCTGTTACGAGCCCTCTAGAGAAAGGACGTATAGCTGCCTTCACGTGACGTTGCATGGCCTGTGGTGGCAGCATGGTGTTCAGGGACCGGGAACATATCCTGTTGTGATTGTGATGGGGCTGCGCACGGTACAGCCGGAGGGAGGAGGCCGTCCACAGGCTCTGAGATCTTGCGCCTTGGCAACTGTAGAGGGAGTTGCACGATGTGTTGTAGGAACTACTGGTTGGAGAGGGTGTCGGATGACAAGGGAGGTTGTGAAGTTAGCAGATAGAAAGTGAGCCTCAAGGAGCAGCCAGGCATCGGTAGCACCTCCTGTTGAGATGGCCAGCCCGTCCCCAGGAACCTAGAGACTCAGGTGTCGGAGGGAGGCAGCTCTGCTGAGCTGTAGGATTGCAGCTGCTTTCTTCACTGCCCCTAACGGCCCCTGGGAACCATATCCTATGATCCCTTCATGTCCTGTGTCTTTCCTGCAGCCCCAGTGGT